CTTAGTTAACGGAAGGCTACCTGCTGCCATCAGAGCAAGTGTAATTACTGCATTCACGTGCTCCTCGAATGCTCTCATTTCCCGAGTTGTGCTTTTAAGTCGGAATGTGAAAACAACATGGACATTCTCGTTACTACAAAGATGTGTTGGATTTATATTATTAGAGCTTTCCGACTTGAGTTCACGTGCATTTTCTCAGTCGGGAAATTATTTTTCACGTGCGGTGCCGCGATGTTTCTTACGTCCGTTTCGGAGAACCAGAGGACCAATATTTCAGTCGATTGCTCGGGCATGGCACCGAAATGAGGCACCGAAATCTGCGTTCGGATTCGGTTCTAGTACATACCGGTTACATAGGTACCGGTGCCATATTGGTACCGGGTTTCGGTACCCAACCCTAATGATAAGCCATATTTGAGGTTGATGAATGTTAGATGAGCATATGGATGTCCTGCCCGATGTACTATATCACCACATAGACCAGCCGTTTACGATTTGTCCATCACCGACTGCGTGATTTCGCCACTTCGTGTGGATTTTTTTTTCTGCGACTAATACAAATTTTTGTGGACCAAGCCTCTTCTCGTTGACTAACGGTTAGTTGACTATTAGGGGGCAACCCTAATATGCATATAAACAGCCTTTTAATTAACAGTAGAATAATCATGGCTGATAGTAAGACATGCAAACATAAAAGAAAACCAAACTGGACACGAGAAAAGCTATAATATTAAGGATATAATCAAAAATTTGGAGTTGGGATAACCTCCAAACCAAAGCCGATACCTTTTTAAAAGCTCATTATCGTCAAATGTTTCTAAAATGTTTATATTCCGAGGCAGATTGCTGGCAACAGCCATTTTAGGATAGTTGTGATTTGGTTTTAGTGACTTAGGAGTCCTCTTCACTACTCCTAACGTTTCACAGATTTAGGAGCTAGTTTTAACGCTAAAACGCTTTGTGAAATACTCTTAGAACAAAAATGTAGGAGTCCTAAATTTAGGACTGACACGCCCATTATTTTTAAGTTTTTCTCCTAAATCGGCGAGTTATGAGCTACTTTTAGCCTTAAGGTGTTTTGTGAATACGGGCCCAGGTCCATACAAGACTAAAGCAAGTTCAATTAAACAAATGTTTTGTTGAACCAATTTAACAGATTGAAATTGCTGTGTTAGACAGTATGCCAACATGTGTTTTTGCTAAATATTATCAAACACAGGAATTTCAATCTGTTAAATTGGTTCAACAAAACATTATTTGTTTTAAAGAAACTTATACATGAAACTTGACCAGTAGTGTTAATTTCGTTAACGAAAACTATGACAAAAAATGTTAGTTGACGAGCTTTTTTCCCATGACTAAGATAAGACGAAGACGAGATGACAATAAGGTAAATAAATGATAACTATGACTATATCAACATGCAATTTCGTTGACAAAAAAGACGAGACTAAAATGTATTAAAAAAAAAAAAAAACTTTACCAAAATCCTTTTTATTTTCGTCAAAAAAAGGAGACAAAATGTTATTGCGGACTGCTCTACATGCAGAGCTGGGTAGACTGTACTTATAAATTGTAATCCGTTACTGATTCCAAATTACATGACAAAAATTATAGTCAGTACCGTAATCCATTACATTACACATGTTAGGTTATCTAATCAGACTACTTTTAGATTACTTTTGACCTAACTTGATTTAAATAGGATAATCTTCTACCATATTGACATAAAAATACAAAGAGTAAAACAAATATATTCCATTTGTTATTAACAACATGAAGTGAATTAAACATTACATTGTCAAAGTTTCCCAAACTGGGGTTGTGAGTTTAATGAAAAGCTGATCATTAATTAAATCATTAACATTGTTTTACATTAAAATAAATAATTTTAAAATCAGTAAAAAAAAATGTACTAAAAATTGTTTCATTTGTTTACCTGCATGTCATGTGGACATAACCAACGTCAGAGGACCATGAACATGCAAATGTGATACTTATTTATTAAAATATTTATTTTCAAATCTCAGGGGTAACTTTGAGTAACTATATTTGGTGAAAGAGGATCAGATGACACAAAAGTTTGTGAATTTGTGCATTTTAATGTGTTTGAAAGACAAATGCCTTCCAAAGAGACAGTAATACATGGTTAAATAAGCTACAGAGTGATAATTCAAATAAAAATCAATGTGTTCATGAGTAGTTGATGCAATGTTGAAACACTTCTTAAACCTGAAATGATTTTTGTAAATCAGTCGTCAAATGCTGTGTAGCACCTGACTAATGACTGATCTCTGTGTGAATGTTCACAAAACTGGATGACTTTCTGAGTGTACACTGCATGCGTGAAGAGTTTCACTCATTTGTCTTCTCTGCGCAGTCATAAAATAAACAATCACATTAAGTAGTTTAGCTTAGCAAGTGCTGCACAGCATCTCTTCCATATTAATCTGTCGTAAGAAACATCATCTAAATTTGTCACAGTGAATAAAGTTCATCTTCAAGACCAGCAGTTTCATCTGTGAGATTCAGATCAACTCAAAGATAGAGTTCCTCCCCTAAAAACAATTTCTAAAATTGTATTCTTGTATACAACTTTGCTTTATGATATACATTATATTATGTAAGCAATAAGGTACGAGAGGCCGTGCTGTATCGTGAATAAATCACGGCTGAAGGGCTTTGCTGCAACTTACCTCAAGTACCTTATTGCTTTTATAAAACGGTTACCACACAATAAAAAATATTAAAACCAAAATTGTATGTATTGAAATGTTACTTTTTTGAAGCAAGTTCGTTAAATGCTGTCGTTCCGCTAAAAAATTAAATTGTAACATGCCTCTCATCTAATGGAGTTTAAATTAAAAACAGAGAATAGGAGCACTTATCCGCTGTGTCATTTATTGTTTTAACACCATATATGATATTTTCTCACACACGTACATCTGCTTATCTCTCAGCATGAGAAAACATCTGGTTTACGTCTTTTAGTTTTAAAACAGACCGATTCGCTGCACAGCGCGAGTTTGCAAGCGTCATTAGAGTGTAAAATGATGGACATACAGAATCATACCTGAAACAGAAAACTAATAAATACAGTAATATTCCCTACTCACTTCAGAAACTGTAGGCTTCCAGACAGACGCACGCCGCACACACATCAACATATCTCCGCATGAGAAGCGTTCATTAGATGGGGAAGAAGGCCGGGGTTTCAAGATTAAAGATGAAAGATGCAACATAACGCCAGCAGGGGTCACTGATACTTCATTAAATAAATAACAAACAGTTAATTCTGCCGAAATACATAATACATGAATCAGTTTTGATGCTATATTTTTGATTGTTTATGTTGCTAAGGGTGTTGCTCAGTGATACACAGAACCGTTGGGTGAAGCGGTCATAGCCGTGCTGTATCCTGAATAAAACACAGCTGCTGACCAATCAGAATCGAGGAAGGGAACTAACTGTTTTATAGTATGCTTTATTGCGTTTCATTTTATGTTCAAAATGTTCTTCTAATGCATATTTGTAGGTTTTTACAGGTTCAAAATGTTCTTCACCATAAGCTGAAAAAGAGGCTGAATTATTTTTCATATTCACTGTTGTTTAGTTTTTTTTACCGCCGACGACCTGGCATCCACATACATGGACATCACATTTTTTGTTGTGTGCACCATACTAAATTCTTTGTAACTGGAACCTGTTGTACACAAACATGGACACTTTCAGAAGAGAAAAACACATTACACAGAAATTTCAAGATGGCGGCAAACACATCTGAAAAGTCAGGCAGGCACACCAGACCAAATTGCACACAAGGTTAAAAATCTAATAAAATTACATTGTTGATTCTTGTTAACTTATACATAATAGTAATTATATACAATAAAGCTGTATGATTAATATGGCATGCAAATTTGACATTTTTTTGTAACCGTAAATATTTACTATGCCACTAAACTTGAGGTCCACGTTGACAATGGGACTTAGCTTCGTTGAAAATGTAAAAATGTTAGCAAAAAATGTAAGTGTGAATACGTAGTTTGGGAAGAATTTGTTAGAAAACATCAATTTACAATAGTTTACAACAGTATAAATTGACATTGCATGTGTGATACATAACTTTACATGCATTTTGATTCATTGAAAATGTACAAATGTTCGCAAAAATGTAGTTTGGGAAACAAATTGTTATAAAACATCAATTTGCAATAGTTTACAACAGTATAAATTGACATTGCATGTGTGATACATAACTTTACATGCATTTTGATTCATTGAAAATGTACAAATGTTCACAAAAATGTAGTTTGGTGCAAAAAAAATAGTTAGAAAACATCAATTTACAATAGTTTACAACAGTATAAATTCACATTGCATGTGTGATAAATAACTTTACATACATTTTTATTAATTGAAAATGTACAAATGTTCGCAAAAATGTAGTTTGGGAAGAATTTGTTAGAAAACATAAATTTGCAATAGTTTACAACAGTATAAATTGACATTGCATGTGTGATACATAACTTTACATGCAGTTTTATTCATTAAAAATGTACAAATGTTCCCAAAAATGTAGTTTGGGGCAAAAAATTTTTTTAGAAAACATCAATTTACAATAGATTACAACAGTATAAATTCACATTGCATGTGTGATAAATAACTACATACATTTTCATTCATTGAAAATGTACAAATGTTCGCAAAAATGTAGTTTGGGAAGAATTTGTTAGAAAACATCAATTTACAATAGTTTACAACAGTATACATTGACATTGCATGTGTGATAAATAATTTTACATTGATTTTTATTCGTTGAAAATTTAAAAATGTTAGCAAAAAATGTAGTTTGGGAAGAATTTGTTCGAAAACTTCAATTTACAATAGTTTACAAGAGTATAAATTGACATTGCATGTGTGATAAATTACATTGATTTTTATTCGTTGAAAATGTAAAAATGTTAGAAAAAAACGTAGTTTGGGAAGAATTTGAGAGAAAACATCAATTTACAATAGTTTACGACAGTATACATTGACATTGCATGTGTGATACATTACAATGATTTTTATTCGTTGAAAATGTAAAAATGTTCGCAAAAATGTAGTTTGGGAAGAATTTGTTCGAAAACTTCAATTTACAATAGTTTACGACAGTATACATTGACATTGCATGTGTGATACATTACAATGATTTTTATTCGTTGAAAATGTAAAAATGTTAGCAAAAAATGTAGTTTGGGAAGAATTTGTTCGAAAACTTCAATTTACAATAGTTTACAACAGTATAAATTGACATTGCATGTGTGATACATTACAATGATTTTTATTCGTTGAAAATGTAAAAATGTTCGCAAAAATGTAGTTTGGGAAGAATTTGTTCGAAAACTTCAATTTACAATAGTTTACGACAGTATACATTGACATTGCATGTGTGATAAATACTTTTACATTGATTTTTATTCGTTGAAAATGTAAAAATGTTAGCAAAAAATGTAGTTTGGGAAGAATTTGAGAGAAAACTTCAATTTACAATAGTTTACAACCGTATAAATTGACATTGCATGTGTGATACATTACATTGATTTTTATTCGTTGAAAATTTAAAAATGTTAGCAAAAAACGTAGTTTGGGAAGAATTTGTTAGAAAACATCCATTTACAATAGTTTACGACAGTATAAGTTGACATTGCATGTGTGATAAATAATTTTACATTGATTTTTATTCGCTGAAAAAAACTAACTGTGAAAATGTAGTTTGGGAAGAATTTGAAGAAGTTGAAACGGTTATATATGCAACAGTAACAATGAAAAATGTTCAGGCACGATACTCAGGCTGTAAATAAAAGAGATTTGCACTTTGTTACACAATGGTGTCTTGATTGTTTTCTGTGGATACAGACCGAGTGTCCACATGTGGACATCATTTTTTTCAAAAAGAGTTTCATGTTCAAAGATAATATCCGGTTATTATATTTATTGGTTCCTCCTAACCCCAAATAGCTAGAAGAAATCTAAAATGCAAGCCAAACCAAGCTCGGGTCTTAGGAGGTTAAACAACTAGTTATTGATTTTAGTTAATAGTCAATTATATCTATTATATCAATTATAATAGTTAATTGATTTTTCCGTACTGCTGGTTCGTCTGGTCAGAGGAGAACTGGCCCCCCGACTGAGCCTGGTTTCTCCCAAGGTTTTTTCTCCATTCTGTCACCGATGGAGTTTTGGTTCCTTGCCGCTGTCGCCTCTGGCTTGCTTAGTTGGGGACACTTCATTTCCAGCGATACCGTTGACTTGATTGCAAAGATACTATTTAAACTGAGCTGGATGTTGACATCACTGAATTCAATGATGAACTGTCTTTAACTGAAAAATTTGTGTTTACTATTGTCATTTTGCATTATTGACACTATTTTCCTAATTAATGCTGTTCAGTTGCTTTGACACAATCTGTATTGTTAAAAGCGCTATATAAATAAAGGTGACTTGACTTGACTAGTTATTCTTCCACTTAGGCTGTATTTTACAAAATGCAGGAGTATGATATTATGCCATGTAGGTTTGCATTTGATCCATCTTCACTTTTATTCATGCTATTTCACGTAATTGTAAAATACATGCTACATAGTTTGTTGAATCAACATTTTACGGGGTCATTTCTGAATAATTTTTATCATCTCAGTGCTATTTGTGTGCCTGCTAACACTTATAAAGAAGGTTTTGTTTCTCTTCACATACAAAATGGTAAGAGGAAACTATTTTGTTATGAATGTAATTATTAGAAAATCAAAGTGTATTTAGATTAATATGGACAAATCATAATGTCCGAGAAAGATCGTCGCCAGTGTCTTTATATTCGTGGTATTTTTTTCTGTATCATTTGAGAAATAACTAATATTTTTCAATAGAGCACTTTAATGGGCTTTCAGCATATATTGTGACTCACACAATCAGTTTCTATCAGCAAACACAGAATAAAGTGAGATGATCTGCTGCTGATCCTGAATGGCTTGTTTAATGAGTGTTTATAGTCTGAGGCTCATCAATATTATCAGCTGCTGAAAATCCTCTTTATTTCATGTCAATAGATCCTGTTTTCACCTCATTCATTATGCTGATGACTTCAGATCTGTAAATTGCCACATTAAGCTCATTTTATTGCTGTCATCAGACTTAAGCAAATGACAAGACAAGTATCATAATGGCATTTAATTAATCTGTGATAAACTGTTAAAACTAAAACATGCAAAAACTTTTTTTTCAGTAAAACTCACCTGGCAGTATATTTGTACCTTGTAAAATAAAACGAGATAAAAGTTGTGAATCAGTATAAAACACTTTGTGGTTAATTAACTTAATTGTTACTTCACTAGATGGAAAGATGCATTAATATTTAAAATGTGTAAATTATTATACAAATAATGTAAAAACTTTTTTATCTTTAATTTTGGCAGATCTGCTCCTCCTCCAGGGAAGCTCCTCCCACAACAATTACACCTTCAGTGAAGCTCCTCCCACAACAACCACACCTTCAGTGAAGCTCCTCCCACATCAAATCACACCTTCAGTGAAGCTCCTCCCACAACAATCACATCTTCAGTGAAGCTCCTCCCACAACAATCACACCTTCAGTGA